TTTTTTTTTTTTTTTTTTTTTTTTCTTTTTATTTTTTTTTTTTTTTTTTTTTTTTTTGGTTTTGTGCAGGGGATCAAACCTAAGGCCTTGCACAGGCTAGGCAGGTTTTCTACTACCTCCCTATACCCAGGCTCTCTAATCATTATTATTTTTTGTTAATCTTACAACTTTGATAAGTATTTCTCTGATTATTTGTGAGGGTTTTGTGGGGGGCAGGTACTGAGGATCAAACTCAGGATCCTGTGCTTGCAAGGCAGGTTTGGTGCTACTAAGCTAAATCCCAGCCCATCTCTGATTATTTGTGATGTTGAACGTTTCCCCAAGTGTTTTCTCATCATTTTTTCTCCTACTTCAAGCTGGTTATATCTTGTCCTTTTATTCATGATCTTAATACTCTTTTTCAGCAGGAGCTTTATGTTTCTTTTAAATATCTTTACTTGGTAGTTTTTGCTTCCAATTCATTTTGTATTTTTTGACATTTTAATTTTATGTAGTCAAATCTCTTGATCCATAAAGTGCATGTGACAAAATAGTGCTTGAAGTCATCATTTGTGGCCTTTTGGCCCTGTGTTTCATTCCCAAGTTGACAGGGTAGTGACCTGGGATAGATTAAGTGGTTGATTATCATGTGCTAATTTCCATGTTCTCCAATGCAACAACAGAAATCACCTAATAAGTTTAGTCACCCTGGCGAGCTTTCTTTTCCCCTGTTAGTTTCTGGATTCTAAATTTTTTAATTTGAAAAACTTAAGCAGAAAAGGTATATACAGTATTTTTTAAGAGACAGTGATCAGCTGAGGTGTGATGATGCATGCCTGTGATCCCCCCAGGGGGACGGCAAGGAAAAGGCCAGCCTAGAGTACACAGGGAGAACCTGTCTTAAGACACACACACACACACACACACACAGAGTACACAGGGAGAACCTGTCTTAAGACACACACACACACACACACACACACACACACACACACACACACACATTGAAAGAGATTATAATGTTCCCCAGGCTGACTTAAACTACTGAGCGAAAGCCATCCTCCTGTAGCTGGGACTACAGTCATGCACCACTGCACCTAACATATTCAGAGAATGTTGAGATTCCTGAAGTCAAAATTAAAGGACATTCGTAAGCCTTCCTGATATAACAGTGCCTTTGCTATCCTTGTCCTAATTTTCCCTCCTTCCTTGCTTGCTTGAGCAGCCCGGGCCACATGAAGTCACCCAAAGTTGACCACCTTGTCAATTACATCCCTTTCCTCATCTGCAGTGAGAGCAGCTCAGTGCCTCCGCACAGTCACCCTGCAGCCGTTAGAAGGTGTCGATGCCAGCAGTGGGGGACAGACTGGCCTTCCTTTGGCTCCATCCCTCGCCTTTGTCAAAGGAGGATGCATGCTCATCTCCAGGGCACGCTTCGAGGTGGACATCAGCTATTCAGAGGACCTGATTGCTCTGTTTAAACAGATGGATTCCCGGAAATATGGCAAGTACTTGGTTTCTATGTGATCCCAGGATATACAGTGAAAGGTTTGCTGTCCTGTGTTCAGATACCCCAGGTGACTTTTGGTGGGCCTTGTGCATGCTGGGTAAGTGCTCTACCACTAAGCTACATCCCCAGCCCAACTCAAAAATGACTTTCTTAGTAGAGCCTTCCTGATCTGCCTCTTTTACCTTAGAAAGGTGACTCCTTCCTTGTCCAGATAGCAGACATATAATGGGGATTGTTTGTCCTGAGGCCTCCTAAAGAGAAAACCCCACAACTTCCCCCAGTCACCCCATGTTTGGTCAAAGCAGGTAAATTGTGACTTCAGCCATTAAAACCCTTGTTTTTATTTTAACCTTAACAGCAAAAAATAAACTCAATAAAAAAAAAAAAGTGGTTTCCATAAAAAATAAATGCCTTTCTTTGGCTAAGATGGAGATTGAACTTAGGGCCTTCACACTGAACTACATCCCTAGACTTTTAAAACATTTTTTATTTTGAGAGAGGCTCTTACTACGCCATCAGATTGCCTGGGCTAGGCTTGACTTGCAATCCTCTTGCCTCAGCCTCCCACAGTGCTAGGATTACAAGTGTGCATCACCACACCTGGCTAAGACAGTGGTTGTCATACTTGAGCATGCATGGGAACCACCAGAGGGCTTGTTAAACTATGTGTTGTGAGCCCCTGTTTCTGATTCTCTAGTGATAGGGCAGGGCCAAAAAAATCATGTTTCCTATGGGCTTCCTGGTGCTACTACTGCTGGTCAGGGCACCACAGGATCATAGTCTGAAAATGCTGCTGGGTTCCCACTCTGGCAGCTCAGAACAAGCTGTGGTTAGGAAGCAGCTTCCTGGGCTGTTCTTAGATTCAAGGCTGTCTTTCAGCTCTAGTCTTCCCATCAGGTGACATGTAGACTTCCTTGCTTCTTCCTGAAACTCACTTCTACAGTACTTTCTGTCTGAGCACCTTGATTTCAAAATGATCTAACAGCAGAGAATTGACTTTTGCTGCCCAGAGCATTTGTCGAGTCCATGCTTTCCTGTTTTCTCAAAGGGTAGATTGGTAGAGAAACCCCATTAAATAATTAGCCAGTGGTGGGTAGTGAGGTGCCCCCCATTAATATCATATGTAATTTGCACTACAGTGTACTAATTAGCAGATGGCATAATAATAACTATAGCAGTAATTCATAACCAGCTTATTTTAAGTGTTCATTGTTTTCTAAGCTTATGTTTATCAGCATTTCACTTTTAAATCTCATGTAATCTTCAGGATTACCTTGTAATATCCCCATTTTTCAAATGGAAAATCTGAGGCACAGAGATGTTTTATATATATAACTTGCCCAAGGCTGCACAGCTAATAAGAGCAGAGCTAGAATCTGAACGTAGGCAGTTTAACCACTCTGAGAGCTCTGTACTCTATTCTGCTGTTTGTTTCCTCTGTGTAAAATGGAGCTGATAACAGCACCCATCTCGTAAAGTTGTGAGGGGAGATGAGAGTGTGTGTGTCTTTGGCACAGAGCCGGGATCAAAGGAAGTGATGATAGTTTGGGCTACAGTTGTTATCCGTGTCTTGGCCATTCAGGATGTTTCTGACCTGGGCCAGCCTTGGTCACGCATCCCTGTGGCACCTTTTATCACAGCCAAGCTTGTCGTGTCCCTGCTTGTCCTTCCTCTCTGTGTACTCCAGCTGCCTTGAGGACAAGTACGGTCTTCATTTCTGCATCCCCAGTACCAAGCACATGACCAGCCACATCGCTGGAGATTGATGAGCTTTCTACCTTTGGGGAGGAAATGAGTACATGTGGTGACACGTAGGAGGGTGGTGTGTCTTGTCTGCTGATTCTCTTTTCTCATTACAGATGTCAGGACCAGGAAGTGGAACTTTCTCTTGGAAGAGCACAATAAACTAAGTAAGAAGCCCACCCTACTTCTTCTTCTATCATGCTATTGTTAAGCTTTAAAGAGTCTGCCTTGGATTTCGTGTCTTTGAAAGTTTCCTCCTCCCTCCACCACACTAACTTCAGAGACTTGAGCACAGGGTGGATAAAGGCGAGATGTTCTTGGGCCGCCTTGTCCACATCTGCGACACAGTGGCTTTGTGACAGCCCATGTGGACGTTGGGCCTTTCATCTATAAGGGGAAAGTGGTGCTGTTAAAATTCTGAGGCTTCCACAGAGGTGTTAGATTGAGGGGCGTGGACTTTGGGAATAAGAGGTGAGATGGGATTGCTTAGCTTAATTGGAAGCTACCTTAGATGACCTCTGGGAACAGACTTTGCATTCACTTCTGTCACTAGATGCTCGTGAAGGTAGGAGAGTCCCAGAGTTATGGGCTTCATAATGGAATGCGTTCTGCCAAGCTCAGAAGTCTAAGTTGGGAAACTTCAGCGTGAGGTACTTCAGAAGCTGACCAAGGGAACCACAAGAAAGAAAAGCCAGTTTGGTTTATCATTTTTCTCCCATGTGCTCTGCTTGGATGGAGCAGTAAATGCTAATGTTCCTGAGAAGGTGGGCATGCTTGCCCTGGCGTGCCGGTTTCATCCATTCCCCAAGCTGTGGTGAGTCTGCAGTGAGGATGCTGTGGACAGAGTGTAAGTTAACTCAGGCCTCCAGCCGGCTCCCTGGGCCAGTCAGACAGTAAGTTGGTACCACTCACCCAGGGGAGATCTGACCCAGCCCTGGGAGCTGGCTGTCATAGGCCATCTTGCCCATTGGGCTAGGGCTTTAAATAAGATGGAAAAGCTGGGTTTCTTTCCTGTGTCTTTTGCTTATGTGTCTTGCTGTGTGATATCAGACAGATAATTCAACATTCTGGGTCCCATTTGTCCTTTCAGTAAAAAAGGGGATCTTTAATTCCTATCTGCCTTAAGTAGATAGGAAAAGCTTTTGGTACCTTGAGGAAAGACCTGCTGTAAATTACAAGGTTAAGTGTAAATATGAAGTGATGTTATTTCGTATCAGTGAATGCTGTCTGACACAGAAAGGATAGCTGATGTTTGTCTAAGGCTAAGGCTCTCTGTGCTGCTGTTTGAGCTTGTGATTCAAAGGGACCTATTTGGCCAAAGCTGAATTTTTTATTAGAAATAGAAGTTAGTAATTTCCTTTCACCTCTTTGTCTTTCAACCAAGAAAAGGCATATAAATATGTTAGCTGCAAGGGCTTTGATTTTTATGGGATAACAAAAAGCAGGATACTTACACCATTAGCTGACAAATGTAATGACAAAAAACCATGACTCATGTAGTATTATAAATAGTGGTTATGAATTGTTTGTAGACTGCATGTACCTTAACATATCTAATGAACACAATGGGTTCTTTGCCACAAAACTTACATAGTGAACTCGTATAAAAGTTTGCATTTAACAGTAATATGTCCATGAATCCTGAGTTAGGAATTCTGGATTTAGGATTCTTGCATGTTTTCTCATCCTTATGATGTCCTGTGGAAGAGAAGACTAATCCTCCTTATTTTGCATATGGACAGAGGCTTGGGCCTTGAGGAAGAAATATTTGCTTTTTTTTCTTTTCTTTTCCTTTTCTTTTTGGTACCTGGGATTGAACTTGGGTCCTTGCGCTTGCAAGGCAGGCAGTGGAACCACTGAGCTAAATCCCTAGCCCGAAACATTTGCTCTTCTTTCTGGGAGCTTTGCGGGCCCACAGTAAAGTCAATGACAGAAATAAGACTAAAATTTCCATTTGCATTTATGGCTGACCCATTATGACACTTTCGAAGCAAGCTTCATGAACTAAGTAAGATGCGGGGGTGAGAAGGCACTGCAGAATATAGCACACTTCCCAGTTTGGTCCTGATTCACACCTGGGAGATTTGCACTTCTCTCTTCGGCCTGAGGTCTCTTCTTCTTTTTAACCCAAAGCTAGTACTTGGGCATGTGCATATGGAATTAATGAAGAAATGGCAGTAGGACCTGAGTGAACGAATGCTTATTGATGGTATGGTGAGAGTTGTTTTGTGTAGGAAAGATGATCTAAGAGCTTTGCTCCTCTCTTCCAAGTGACTAGAGTCCTTCTACCCACAGTGAAATTGGCATGAGGCCTTTTGTTTTCCCCTGGCTGTCACAGTCCAGAAGGACTGTCAATGATCTCATCTTGTCAGCTGCTATTTGAAAACATTAGCATCTCTCATCTGTGTGGCTACTAGCAGTTCTGCCAAAGAGCTTTTTACAGAAATGACTTCGAGGTGACTCATGAAGCCAGATAGCACACGGCTGTTATCTCTCTGCACCAGGGAAAGGACAATAGAGGCAGGCGTAGACAAGGAATGGTAATATTCTCCAAAACACACCCAGTTGGCTGAAGGATTTTAGAGACAGTAGCTGCTAAGAAACAGTGGATATTGGATTTTTTTCTTTCTCCTTTTAAATGGCTGAGAGAACATAGTGCTTATAAAGGACAGCGTTTCACACCAGCTGGATCATCATCCCTAAGCTTCCATTAGGTATTTGAGTTCTAAAGATCTCTAAGATTAAAATGAAAATAGCTTTTGCAAGTACAGGGAGTGCTCAGTTTCCTGATGTGTGTAGAAATCAGCATGCTCAGATTTAATTTGGAGGTATAAAATGTATTTCTGTATCAGTATGGACAGCTGGTTTTTATATTTAATCTGTCAGCCTTACTAGTTTGCTATCATGGTGACTCTGTTAATGGAAACTGCTTCTGGATGTAACTGGTACCTGTATTTAATGAAGGACAGAAATGGATTTAAATATATCAAATGCACAAAGCAAATGCACGTAGCAGTAGATGGCTCAGACCCCCATCAGTAACTGAAGAGTAACTAACTGGTTGATGTTGTAGAAGACATGGAATACCTTGTGAGGATATTAAAACATCTGATCACTCATGACTATGGAACAAAAAACCAACAGCTTTAGAATTTCAAGTAATATTGAATAGAATGAAATATATCTACTTTCTCCTTATGGTTTCATTTACTGGATACCTGAGGACAATTAGCCTCTTGGTGAGTTACTGTGACTTCCAAGGTCTTCTTGGAAGGATAAAGGAAAAAGAGCAACTGAAGGTCTGTAAATAATGGCCACTCTTCTCCTTAGATTTTTTTCAAAGCATAGTAATAAAAGGGAATATCTTGGAAGCTATCACCCCAGGACAGCAGGTTGTGATTAGTTGCTTACCATAATTCTGTCAGGCATCTCTAGTTCTGTCAATTTTTTCTATCTCTAATTCATTCATTTTGTTTTTCTATTTTAAAAAAGCGTGCGTTTTTGTTTTTCTTTTTTCTTAATTTTAAGGTTAGGTGAGGCTAACTGACTTCAAAAAGCAAAATCAGTGCAACTAATTGGCTTTCATTTCCATGTAACTCCCAAGTATTTTATTTTTTCCCACCTAGATTAATGGCTCTGACTAGATGAAGTGGTTTCTGTGTCCCTTATGTAGGAGTTCAGGACTTTCAGACTTGAAAAAAATGTAAAGGGCCCTAAATTGAAAAGTCCAAGTAGTGGTCACTCCAAGTATCAGGGCTGACTCTAAGCTTAGCAGATATTGATAAACTTTTCTTTACTCCCTCTCTCCTCCCTTTCTCCTCCCTCCCTCCTTTTCTACCTTTCTTCCTTTTTTTTTTAAATTACTGGGGATCCAACCCAGGGCCTTACAAAAGCTAGGCAAATGCTTTTCTCGTGTGCTATATCCTCAGCTGGACAAACTTTACTTATTTTTGTTTTTGTTTTTTGGACACAGGGTCTCTCTATATAGTTCAGGCTGGCCTTGAACTCACTATGTATCCCAGACTGGCCTTGAATCTACAGCAATCCTTCTGCCTCAGTCTCCTGAGTGCTGGGATTACAGGGGTGTGCCAACATGCCCAGCTCTTCTAGGCTTTCTTGAGTACACTCCTGGCATATCTGGACGGAGCACTATTTCTGCTTGTGGACAGTAGGTGACTTAGTATTCATTGCCTCCTCAAACATCAAAACCATCAAAACAGAAGAAAGGAAACAAAACAAGATTCATCCTGTTCTAGATACCTTTCTGGGCTGACTTTTTAATAATATGAGTCCTTATTTATTTGAATGGAAACACTAAGTAATTTTTAAAAATTACTTGTTAGCCAGATATGGTAGTGCATGTAATCCCAGCACTTAGGTGACTGAGGCAGGAGGAGCGTCATGAGTTCATGGCCAGCCTGGGCTACACAGTGAGTTCAAGTCCAGTCTGAACTACATGAGGAGACCCTGCCTCCAAAAAAAAAAAAATTATAAAAAGCAGTCACAAAAACACTTGACAATTCTTTCTTGCATTTGCGTGTAGTCTCCTAAATTCTGTTTGCCTTACTGAGTGGCCTCTTAGTTGCAGAAAGTAAGAAATAGAAGAGAAAAACTAGTCCTTTGGGTTCATGTCCTTGGTTAGGATCCGGCTGTCTGTCCTTAGTGTTCCCTCCAGGAAGCCTTTCTGAGAAGATAGCGGGTAACAGAATTCTACTCGGTGAACCGTGTAACAGAAATGCCTCCCCCTTCCCTGTATCTTTCTACGCACGAACGCTGTGCCTCACATGTCTCTGTGCTTCTTTCCAGTTATGAGAGCGCGCTCCCTCCCACAGGTTCACCTGGAACCTCTGCCCAAGACACTCACCCTGGCGTTTGCGTCTCAGCTGGAGAAGACCTCTCTCTGCCTGACAGCAGATATTCCTGAGGCAGACCTTTCTGGAGTGGATGACAAGCTTGTGTCTAACCTGATGCCCTTTCAGAGAGCAGGAGTCAAGTAGGTTCTTGATCTGCTTCTTGCTCAGATTTCATCACTTCTCCTAGACTGGATTCAAAAGCTTCTTCTTTTATGAACACTCATCTTGCATGGATGGCAGGAAGCTTCGAGGCATTAAACAGCCAGCCGGGTGTGCTAATACCAGAACTTTGCTATAACCATTGATTTCAAATTCTGTGAGTTAAATGAGACTCTGGATCACAGGTGTGCACAAATCCAATTCAAACTGAAGGAAGGAGATTTCTCATTGTGTGTAACAGAATATCCAGCGTCTCTGCAGATCTTGCCAGGACATTCTGTCCCTCTCTCAGCTCTGCTTCCTTCTTAGTTTGCACTGTTCTCGGCCAGGTGCTCCTCCATGTGGCAGCTGGCTTAGCAACCTAGCCCAAACACCTCTTTCCTGATGGATCTCACATTGCTGTGGCTTAATCTGATGATGCTGGGCCAGTTATGTAGGCTTGGAGTCTTAAAGTCTTGCTGGTTAAACCCAGAGATAGGCCCCTCCTTGGAGCCAGTAGGTAGGGGTTAACCTACCTGAACTGAGAATGACTCTCCGGAAGAAAATCAAGATAAACTATACCATGGTGATGGTGAACCTTTTAGAGACAAGTACCCAAACTGTAACCCTGTACCCATTTATTATCATAAAGTGCCCAACGTTGCAATTCAACCTGAGTACTGAGGTTTTAGTTTAGCAAAAACAACTCATGCATTAACATTTTTATTTTCAAAGAAGAGCAAATAACACATGTGCCATAGGTTTGCACCACTGGTATAGAAAGACAGAAGAAAAACTCACACCCTGCCCTGTCTTCTATTTTCAGATTTCTTGGGAGAAGCCAAATGATAGGTTTGAACTGAGCATGGTGGCTCACACCTGCAATCCAAGCACTTTTGGAGGCTGGGGCAAGAGGATCACAGTTTTGGGGCCCAGTATGGGCAATTTAGTAACTTAGTGAGACCTGCTCTAAAAATAATTTTAAAAGGGCTAGGAATGTAGCTCAATCCCCATTGGTTCAATCCCCATTACTACCAAAAAAAAACCACGTATGAACTGAAAATATGGAAGTTAAAGAGGAGGTGTTGATGGTCTGTGCAGAAGTAATATGATTTAGAGCTGTTCATAGGCAATGTGGCTGGAGATAGTGTAAAGGGAAGGGACCTTAGTTATCAGTGGAGCTGACAAACCTGCAGAGCTTGGCTGCCTGAAGACTGATCTTGGAGTTCTCATGAAAACTTAGCCACTACTCTCATCTCTATGTGCCGCTTGTCACAGCCTTACATTCTTGTATTCCTGGTCCTGTCTACCACCCTTTTTTTTTTTTCCTTTCCCCTCTGTATCAGCCACTTTCATATCACTGGGACGAAGTACCTGATATCCCCAATTTAAAGGAGAGAGATTTTGGCTTCTGGTTTCAGTGCATTCAGTCCATGGTTGGCTGGCTCCAAAGTAGAAAGGCATTGTGGAATGGCAGGGTGGAGGGAAGCTATTCACCACCTGGCAGCCAGGAAGCAGAGCAGGAAGGCAGGAGCCGGGGCCAAGAATACTCCCTTCCACGTCATGTCCCTAGTGACTCACCCTGGCCCCACCTCTGAAAGTGGAAATGTAGCTGGACATTTTTGGAGGTCGTTTTTCTTCTGGACCATAACATGCTCCATTTTATATCTCTTAGATTACACATTTGCAGAATTTCATCTGTTTTGTCATTTCAGTGCTTCATCTGTTAAGATACTCTTTCTTCGGGCTATCCCTCTGATTTTTCTTCGTCTGGCTTCTTTACTATAGCTGAGTCAGGTTGCCCACCACACATACCCACGAGGCAGCCCATCTGCTCTGTCCAAGGCCCTAATGGTCTATTAAGAGATCCTGGGGCCAGTGTGGTGAGTGCTGTTCTTGCCAGTTCACCTCATTACAGTGAGGGATCTTATGTGCAAGGCACCCCAGGCAGATATACATGTGGTTACAGCTTTAGCTGCAGAATCAAAATGTGGCCAGGAATTTCATCATTTTTCTCTTTATGGCTCTGAAGCCACTTATGGTCCTTATAGGCTTTCTTTAAAGTTTTCTAATTAAATCCAGATTTTAGCTTTCAACTTCTGGAAAGGTAGAGGTTTGGTACAGGGGCGAGGACAGCTATCAATTCTATGTTTTGTTTTGTTTTTAATGTAAGAACTACAGTTGAACACACTTAAATTTATAGAGCAGAATCTCTTAGACATATCAGCTTCTTTTAATGTCTAAATGTTTCCACTCAACAGAAGAATGTGTCCATGATCAGAGTCATTTGCCTAAAGTCACTTGGCTACAGAAATGGAATTGAATCCTAGCACTTGGGAGGCCAAGCCAGGAAGATTGTTGTGAGTTCGAAGCCAGCCTGGGATACATAGTGAGTTTAAGGCCAGTCTGAACTACATGGTAGGACCCTGTCTCAAAAAAAATTTTTTTTAAATTGAGTTAAATATGTGGTTTTTGATGATGCATGTAGTATCTTTTTACCTATTATACCAAACTGTAGAAGGTGTATTTAACTATGTTTCCCTGTTATTTGGGCCTTTTCCTTGCTGTCTTTGGTGGTGGGGTGGGTGTGCTCTGTTCCTTATTGGGCCCCTTTGAGGCAGGGAAAAGGGAAAGAATGTGAAATTCAGGGGATCCATTCTGCTTTGAGAATGGCCAGATGGACCAACCATCTGGAAGCTGTAGGCAGCAGAGCCGAGGAGGCTGAGACAAAAGCATTAGAAGGGTGTGGTGTTCTCTATGGATTTCATCACTTTGGTGCTGCCTGTCGTCCCTGGCCACCAAATTTGCAAATGAGAAAGTGAGGTGAGAAATGAGCCTTTTCACACCTGACCTTCTTGTATTGGTCCATGTTGTGGGTTGATGCCAGAGCTGGTCCAGAAGAGTTCAGAGAGGCAGGTATGCCAGAGAAGCCGGGCCTGCTGAAGAGAGGAGGTAACATCCACTGGAATCCTTTGCCCGCTGGTGGAGGGACATGCTGACCAAGGTCAGGGGTGTAAGCATGGGTGCTCCCTCTCACTTGGGTGGCTGCTGTAGCTGCTGGGAGGACAGAAGTGTCGTGACATAATGCCCATTGTCCCATGTGCTCTTGGGCCTTGGACATGTTGGCATCAGTTCCTGGAGACCTGCTGCTCTGTTTCTCATCTTAGGAAACGTTGTTCCCCCACAATCAGGAAGTCCATGTGCAGCCTAGAAATCTCGCAGGCCATGCCAGTGATGAAAAGAGGTTATGTTCTCCACATTATAGAAGAAGGGAAGAAGATGAACTATTATTCCACTTGTTTTCCTAGCACATAATCAATTTTTTAGGAATTAGATGCCTGGAGTTTGGAGTAAGGGACCAGACATCTGGTTCTCAGGATCCTCTTTTCACTGATTTATCCTTGACTTGAGCAAGTCATTTTACTGTTTGTGCCTTGATTATTTTCCTTCTTTTTGTGGAATAATAGTTCCTTAGCACTTAGGGTCTTAAGTGCTTTGTGTGTTACTGGAGTCCTCCCCACACTCCTGGGGCAAGTTCTGTTGTTACTCCTGTCTCGCTGTTGTGGGAGCTGAGGCATGGGGCTGTAGAAAGATGGATGGCTGTTCCACATGGGAATTGGGGTTCCAACTCAGGTCTGGCTGCTCCGGCACCATGGAATCCACTCTCACCACAGAGGATTGGCCCAGCTTGTTGGTCTTCAGGACTCCTGGCTCCCGGAGACTGCTGGTTAATGAAAACCCTGTGCTGAGGTTATGCCCCCTCCTAGGTTCATACCCCACTCCCATCCTCCTTTCTTCGTGTCTTCATCTGGTGGTTTCTCATTTGTTTCAGCTCCACTCTTTTCTGCATGCAGAATGTGCTCTTATCTTCAGAAAGCCTTATTTTAAAAAAATTTTTTCTGAATTTATTATTGTTATTATTCTTACTTCGTTTTTTGTTTTGTTTTGTTTTTTTTGAGACAGGGTGTCACGGTGTAGTTCAGGCTGGCCTTGAACTCACTATGTAGCCTAGTCTTGTCTTCAGCTCCTAGCAGTCCTCCCACTTCAGCTCCCTAAGTACTGGGATTGCAGGTGTGCACCACAACACCTGGCCCAGAAGGCCTTATTTTTAAACTCCATTTTGTTCTTGTTCCTTTCTGTCCTCCCAAACAGTCACAGCCCTGGTCATGGACAACTTCTCACACCTCTCGTTCACGTCCCCCTGGGCTGCCTATACTGGGTTCAGGTTGACTGCCCTCCTTCACACTTCTGCCCTCAGTTCATGTGACTGCTGCTCTTCTAGATCTTCTCCCTCCCCCTTGACATCCACTCCGCATTTCCTCTGTCTTGACCCTCGCTCTCTTCTCCTTTTGTTCTACCCCATGCCTGGCTCCTGCCCTTTGCGTTTGAAGAACAGATCTTGTAGTACCTACGCCCAACCTCGTATCTCTGCTTTTCATGGTGCCAAGTTAGCTAAAACAACTTCACTGGTACGTGGACTGTGCTGCTCACCCTGCCTTGTCTGTTTGCAGTTTTGCCATAGCAAAAAGAGGCCGCCTGCTGCTTGCCGATGACATGGGCCTGGGGAAGACTATCCAAGCCATCTGTATAGCCGCCTTCTACCGCAAGGAGTGGCCCCTCCTGGTGGTGGTGCCTTCCTCTGTGCGCTTCACATGGGAGCAGGTTAGTTCTCTGTTGGAATAGAGAAAAGGTTTTTCTCAGTGCTAGAGTAACAACATAATGGTTTGGGGACAGGGCCTGAGATCTTTAAAGGTTCTGTCAGGTAATGGCTGAAAGAGAGATGAGCTGGTGCCCTGAGGGCAGGCTGGTAAGTTTCTGACTCAGAGGGAGAAAGCCCAGGAGTCACCAGTCCAGGACCTTGTCATTCCATCACAGGTACTTCTAGTACCGCTGTGCTGCAAATCTACCATGCTTAATTTCCAAAATATTTTTAACTTCTCTGTCTCCCTTAATTCCATAACTCGACAGTGACCCCCTGTGGGCACACTTGAAAGCTGAAGGGGTTAAGTGCCATGCATTGTGCTATTGAGGACCAGGGTGGGACTTGAGATGTCCTCCTGGGTTCTGGACTCAGCATTTGCGTCTCTAGAGGGTCGGGTATTTGCTGACAAATTTAAGGGTGAAGAACCGGACCTGAACTTTGAGGTATTGAAATCCCACACACAAGCGCAGTGAAGAAGGAGGACCTAAGCCCACCAGCTCTCCCTGGCTTTGTGCTGCTGATGTTGGCCTTCCTCTTTCTCACAGCTCAGCTTCTTCCTAAGACCTCTGTGAGCCATGGTGGAGAAGAAGCAGCTCTGCCTGATGCTGGTCAGTCTGCTGCCCAGATGTGCCACTCTAATCAAAGAGAAGGCGAAAAAACTTACAAGAACGTGCATGGAAACAATGCCTCATTCTTTTCCTGACCTTGTGATCTAACTTCTGCCAGTCACTATAGAACACAGTCATTTGGTGCATACCTTGTGTGCATTAAATTCTCTCAACACCTCAAATTCCAGGGAAGAGTGGCAGAGTGTAGCCCAGGCAGGGCAGTGGGATGCTTCTGTGGAGGCACAGGTGACCTTCACTGGCTCCAGGGACCAGGTTTGGATAGTTGCTGGAGAAAGCCAAGTGGCTTTGAGGAACATATCGACCTATATATTTTCATCACCATTGATAAACACCACTTACCCTCAGTATACCATGCTCTCTATAAAACTCTTCCCCCAACAGAAACTCGTCTAGTTAGAGATCACAGAGATGAAGTCCACAGGAACCACCAAAAGCCTGCTCACACAGGAGGGAGCATCTGGTCAGTTGACAGTGAAGGGACAGGGGAGGGAAGTGTGGCAATGACTAGGATTTGGGCAGATACAGGCGGATGTAGTGGGAGAGAGACTTGAGTTTGTGTTTCAGGGAATATTAAATTGTCCACATTGAGAGAGTGCTGTTGATGGTTTGGCTGGGGTCACAGCTGGCTAGTTATTGGTGTTTTGTTGTCTCCTGCCACCCACAGGCCTTCCATCAGTGGCTCCCGTCTCTGAGCCCAGAGCACATCAACGTGGTGGTGAATGGGAAGGGCTGCCTGACAGCTGGCCTGGTCAACATAGTCAGTTTTGACCTTCTGAGCAAGTTGGAAAGACAGCTAAAAATTCCTTTCAAGGTCGTCATCATTGTAAGTGATTGGCAGAATCTAGAAATATTTCATCTCTGTGGAAACTCTTAGAAGCTCCAAGAACGTTGGTTTTTGTGGTCTCACTGAGCCTGTTTTCTTAGGAAACAGAAATTGCTGTGTTTATGGGAAACTGGCATTTCACTCCTCCCTCATTGTGCTTCTCGGCCCTGGCTGAGAAGCTCTGGGGAGCTTTTTAAGACTGGCTGAATGAGTCTGTGTTGTAGTTTCTGTCCTATCTCTTCTGCAGCAACAGACGACAGATGGAGGCCAGCACGTAGACTTAGACCGCCCAGGGGACCAGGGACTGCAGCTTAGACAGCAAGCCTGTGTATTACCCTGGTACCACCTTGTTAGTGTGGCTCAGACATATAGCACAATTAATAAATGTCCTGCCAGCTGATATGAAGATACCCAAGCCTCTGAAAAAAAAAAGTGCACCTTTTACTTCATTTTTAAAGGAGCCTTTGCTGGAGCCCTGATCCCAGATCTAACAGCACATCTTTCAGTCAGTGGCTTCCTGTCTGAAGGAAGTCTGGACAGACGTGGTACCCAGCCAGCTCTGCCAGTACTAAGTGTGTTAACATAGCTCCCCAATAAAATGTGGGCACTCAGAAAAGGGGAGACAACACAGTTGCTGACCTCAGGGGATTCCTTATTACGTTCCGAACGTGAGAACCACACTGTGTTCTCAGCATATGCAAACGAAATGTTTATATTTTCTCAGAGCTATCAGGGTAGCAAATTTTGGGAGAAATCATTTCTGGTTTGGTGCAAATTCAAGTGTGGCTTTGAAAAATGCCAACATCCAAGTGAAATGAGAACATTAAAAGAATATCCCAGGGCAGATGGTGATGTCTCCAGGGTTTTAGGGAGAGTAATGTATGTCTTCATTTCTTGTGTGTTACCTGCTTTAGGAACTTCCTGTGTGACCACTGATCTTCCCTGTGCCCCCCGAGCCATGCTATCTTTTGTTTTTGTGAGTTAATCCTCTTCACAGCTGATGAAACTGACAGTGGGAGCAGATCCATCCTTTGCCTACAGGCACAGAGCTAGCCAGACAATCATTGATTAAAGCAGTTTGTGTCTGGCTTCAGAATCCGAGTTTTCCTGTTTCTGCTGTGTGGGTTTTGGCAAGCTGCTTACCACCAGGGTTGGTTTGTTCTTTGGTAAAGTCAAAGCCCTGTCCTCTTCTGACTTCAGAGAAGCAGGCAGGAATAAAGTGAAAGCTCTGAGATGTCGCACCTCTCAGGAGAGGCTTCAGTTTCAAGCCATTGTCACGATGTGTTCCAGTATTGCTATGATAGTACCCACTGGGCATATCCTAGTACTTTCTGCAGTTTCTCCATAAATGCCTCTTTCCTGATTGTCATGAGGACGTGTCATGAAATAGGAGTGCGGATATAACACCAGAGGCTTGTGGGCTAGAGTGTGGCCCTCTACTGTTCTCTCCAGATCCTGATTCATCGTAGCTGAAATGGAATGGGGTCCTTGTAGATTCTTCTTGGGGCCAAAGCCAGGACTTCTCATAGGCGGATAATGTGGAAACCTTACAAAGAGACAGGAGTAGGCAAAGGGCTCCTTGTGGGTGAGCCCATTTCAGACTGGGAGCAGTTAGTTAGGAGGTATCATTACACCCATTTGATAGATAAAGAAACTGGCACCTTTGGGAGGTCAGTTAGTGACTCAGAGTCACATAGCAAGGAATTGGAACGTGTGCTAACCTAAAAATTTCCCCCCAGGTCCTTTTAAAGTATTAGTTACTAATTTGGGTTTAGAAAATATGAGATTCTTTGTTTATGCACAGAATGCAGAGCTGACAATAATCGAGGGCTGGGGATGTAGCTCAGCAGCACAGTGCCTGCCTGGAAAGTGCAAGGTCTTGAGTTCAATCCCCGGTACCAAATGAAAACAAACAAACATACAAACAAGCTGGGGATTTAGCTCAGTGGTTCCACTGCCTGCCTGACAAGCAGAAGGTCCTGAGTTCGATCCCTGGTACCAAAAAATAAAAAAAATAAGAAAGAAAGAAAGCCAGCCAGTCAAATAATCAAGCTTCATGGTCTAAATATTACAGTCTCTGGAGGACAGGACGAATGCTCCTTCAGTCCCATGGTGTTTTAGGTATTCCCACTGCAGTGGCAGTGCTGTGTCTGACCCGTGTCAGTATGTCCGACTTCCCTACTGCACAGTGACTCCGAGGGCAGGCCCTGAGCTTCGGGCCAGTGCAAGGGCACATGGCTGGGCTGAAGCAGATTTTGCCTTTCCTGCCACACAGATGCAAGATGCAAGATGCCACTTACGAAGCCAACCACCTTTCAGTGGTTTGTTCCCTCAAGCAGCTGCTGAGAGGGGCACAGTTGGGATTTACTGACCCAGCTGTCTCAGGAGAAAACTGTCCCCAGAGAAGTGAAGCAGCTTGCCCTGAATGTGGTACACAGGCTGCCCTGGAGGCCTGGCTCCTTCCCTAGGTCCACTGCTCTGTCTCTATGGATAAGAGCACACTTAGGGACCTGCTCTCAGGGAAGCGCCAGGCCAGGGTTAACCTTCCCATGGCCCCTCTCTGTCTTCTCAGAGCCTTGTTCACTGTGGCTGTTTCTTTCAGGATGAATCTCACTTCCTCAAAAACATCAAGACTGCCCGCTGCCGAGCAGCTGTGCCCATCCTAAAGGTGAGTGCTGCTGAGAGGAGACTTGGGGCCCCCTGCACCTCAAAATCCATTGTATATGCGGAGTCTTAGGAGAGCCAGCTCAAGCCCCAGCCTGTGTCCTATGGACAGGACTCAGCCTCAACTCAGGACGTCTCCTAGGGCTTGAGTGCCTACTCCATTTTCCTTCCTGACATCTGGCTGAGGGCCCAGCAGTCCCGATGGTGACACAGGCCCAGGTGGGGCTGGACTCTAGGATCCTCCTCTGGCTTCCTGCCTGGACAGGGGAGAACCTACAGCAGCTTGTCCACCAGACAGCTCACAAGAAACGGAGTCACTATAGCAGAGATGTCAGGGTACCATGAGTGATGAATTACCCTACCAGGCTAGGGCCAAAGGGTGTGAGAAGTACCAGAGCTGAGCCAGGCCTTGTAAGCCAACCATGCCTCTGCTTAACAGGAGGGCCTGCTGCCCATGTTCCTTTCTGTGGGGGTCTCCACTGGCCTCTGAGCAGTTGGAGTGCTTTGGTAAGTGTAAGTTCTGGTTCAGAGCAGTTCAGGGCGGGATGTGTGGCATGGGTTTCAGTCTTCATCCACACGTCTGACATGCAGTTGGAGCTGAATGCACTTGTCCCAGCTCCACATCCCATTGATGCTTTTGCTTGTGTGTGTGTTATGTGTTGTGTTCCCCCATTCTTACAGGGAATAGGCCCCTAACTTTTTAAAATCTTTTTGTAGGGGTTTCTCTCTATAATTAGGGGAGGAGTATAAAAGTAGTGCTTTCTCTCAGGACAAGTTGGCTGTCTCTCAGAGATCTGACTTTGGAGGAATCCATTTTGGTTGGTGTTGACCAAGTAAACGCAAGTTGGTGTTTATCCTGCACTCTAGTAAGGCATCCCTTCTGTCACGCCAGCATTTTGAAACTGCAGCTTTTATTGCTTAGAAGAAGTTTTCATCCCAACACTTGGGAGGCTGAGACAGGAAGATCACAAGTTCTAGGCCAACCCGGCCTAAATAAACAAGAACGTCTCAAAACAAAACAAAAGAAAAAGCAGCTTTCACTTTTGCCTCAATTCTAGAGAACAGATTTGCTAAATGTTGATGAAGCATAGCATTTGAAAATTAATTTTCTTGCCTCACCACAAAACTTGCATAAAGTGGCTACTTATTTCAAATTTTAATATTTTAGGAATAACAAGTAACATGATAAACCGGGGATTTGGCTCAGTGGTTCCACCGCCTGCCTTGCAAGCACAAGGGCCTGAGTTCGATCCCCGGTACCCCCCCAAAAAAAAGTAACGTGATAAATCTTCCAAGGTAAGGATATGTCATGTGCTCCAGTATGAAAAACGAGTCTTTTGCTTTAAAATCTTGGCTCTCAGATGCTACCTATAAATACTGACATGGTGATTGCCACTGATGGACACACAATGATCTGTCTTTCTAGGGGGGAGTGACTCATCTTTGAGAGATTTTAATATGTTTTTCTTAGAAAAGTGTGAGTAGTCCTTAGTACTGTGGTTTCAATTTTATGGCCATAACTGAAATCAAATCTGTACCTGTGATTATTTAGACAAAAGAAATTACACAGTAGATTGTATCATTAGAGTTGGAGCACATGGAACTGCATAGTGGGTTCTGAAACAGGTACCTCCCAGCCAGGCCTGTGGAAACAGCGTAGACATCTAATACTGTGGGCATATTTCAGAGTGACATGTTAAAAACAAATCTTTAAACTGCTGTATCTTTACTTTGCATTGGCTGTAGCACTTGGGTACATTAACATTTTAAAATAGGATTGGTGATTATGGCCCATTGAAGTTACGCTCTTCTGTAATGTTCTGTAACTTCATATAATGTGGGGCAATGGCAAGAGCGGGGTGTGGCATTTGACACTCTTCTATCACCTCCCTCTGCTCTGTATTTGTCTAGATTGGACTTGCTCAACCTTGGCACTGTTGACGTTTTGGTTGGTTCTTTGTCGTAGGGCTGTCCTGTGCATGTAGAGTATTTAGCAGTATACTTGGATACTATTAGTATCCTTAGATACCTATTAGATGCCAGTAGTACTGTCAGTGTCAACAATCAGAATTGTCCCCAGATGTTGCCAAACATTCTCTGTGCAGACAGATCACTCCCCACTCACATTGAGAACCACATTGGGTCTAAATAAGTAAATGGATCTGAGTGCTTTTTCATTAGGAAAATATTTGAGAGGAAGTAAAATAGGTATTTGAAAAGCCACCATGGTCCTGTCCTAGCTGTGCCCTCGGTCACAGCACTGGGGTACACTCTGGGATAGGGAGCAATTTGAGCAAGGCAGCAAGATGGTTGCAGGGTTCTCCTGCGGACCAAGTGCAGAATGGGATAATTGGTTCAGCAACAAACAGAAGAAACTACTGAGGTAGCTGAAATTTGCAGAATGCCTAGGGAAAAAAGGTGGACATGAGCAAAGTAAATTTGGAGGTTATAAAGCCGTGGGTAATAACTGAGTGACAGAAATCCTTGGATTTGAAGGTGATGTTGTGATTGAGTTCATATTCAGCCAGCTGGAAGTGGAGAATCTAGATTCCAAAATGATGCACATCAACCTGACTGGGTTTTTGAATGGGGAAAATGCTGAAGAATTTGTGGGAGAACTGTAGCCCCTGCTGTTAAGTGCACAAGAAAACATCGCTGGAATCCCCTCTGCTTTCCTAGAACTAAAGAAAGAAAATATAAAACAGACTGATTGAACAAGAAAAACTGGCATTGAACGAAACAAAAAGATGAAGACAAAGATAAAAGGGGTAAGGAAGAAAGCACAAGCACAAAGACCTGAGTTCCATCCTCGGTACCAAAAAAAAGAAAAAGCAGAGAAAAAGGGGAGAGGTCTCAAAGCCCAAGAAGACACAAATTCAGATATCTTTCTAGAGAATGATCTTCCCCTGTCAGGAGAAAGAAAGCACAGTCATTCTCAATCTCCCTGTTACAGAACCAAGAGCCACAGTCCTTCCCCTGCTCCAGCAAACAAAGAAAAAACTCCAGAGCCCTCTGACCCTTCATTGAAAGTAAAAGAGCCCTCAATACAAGTGGCTTCATCTACTAGTGACATCCTGAAAGTTCCCAAGCCGGAACCCATGCCAGAACCTAAAGAACCTTTGGGAAAAAATTCAAAAAAGGAAAGGAAAAGCAGAACATTGGTATCACCCCCAAAGAAGGCAATCCCCATCTCCAAAAACCAGGCCATTAGAAGAATCTCCAGAACTCTGGAACCTAAAAAGACCGGAAAGGCTGCCTCACCATGTCCACAGTCTGTAAGGATTTCCTCCTTTCCATCTGTCTCTGGATCTCCTGAGACAGCTGCCAAAAAGTCCCTACTGCCTCTATCCTCTGTCCAGTCTCAGTCACCCTCTACAACTGGTCACCAGTGGTGCCAGTGGGAAAGGCTAAAAGGCCAACACCAAGTCCTATCACCAGCCAGGAACTTGGATCAAGAAAGAGGTGGGAAGAAAAAGGATAAGAAACACGAGAAGGAAAAGGCCGTGACTGCAGCAACCATATTAGCACAGGAAGACTCCAAAGCCGGTGCAGAGCCCAAAGGAGATTGCAAATGAAGCTGAAGATAATTGATGACTTGGAGAAGCACCTGCAGTAAGAGCCTCTGAGATCCATGCTGGAGGCTCAAGTGCCCCCAGTCATTGGTGGAAATGTTTGTTAGGGTGTGTAAATTTTATTTGGTTTGTACTCAGTTCCATTTCAAAATTGTTAAAATGTGTTTGAGCTTTAGACTATAACATTTGTTGTAATAATTGCTAGGTTGAAATCACCATATAAAGGGGGGGGCGTGGATTTACATTGCAAAGGGTGTCCAGAGTATATTAGTGACATTCATTAACAGCTGACATCAATTCATTTAGAGTAAAATATTGTAAACCAAAAACAACCCCCCCTTTTTTTTTAAGGAAAAAAGGGGTTTAAGAAACTCGAAATAAGGACTAAAATGTATAATAAAATGGGAAGAAAATGTTCAAATGGGAAGGGAAACAAGGGAAGGGGAATGGAAGGAGGGGAAAAGAAAAAAGTGAAAATAGAATGGAAAAGGGGAAACAAAGCTTTTGTCTGTGGGGGTTGTGGGGAGGAGGGAATGGGAGAAAAAGAGGCGGGATATATTATGTACAGGTGCAAACTCCCATGATGAGGGTTATCATGTGATTCTATCCTGTTCTGGGTTTCGCCCAGCTCTTTTACCTTTATTAAAGCAGTTCAAATAGATAAGTTCAAAGGTTACAAAAGAGTAGGCAGTGAAAAATACATCTTTCTCCTACCTTAGGTTCCCTAGTCCCTTGTCTCTCTCCCCAACGCCAGCCATAGTTGTCAGGTATTTTTGTTTGGTCCTATAAAATATCCCACTCCTGTGTAGGTATAAATGTGTGTTTCTTTCTTCCTTCCAGAGGGTTCTACGACAACTATTTCATACCTACCTTTTTCCCCTTAATGACACATCTTGAAAATCATTACATGTCATTCCAAATGACTCTATCTCATTCTCACAATAGAATTCTGTTGAAGAAAGCCATCAAAATATATATTCTGTGATCCTTTTTGATGAATTTGTAGCCAAATTGTAGCTCTTCCATACAACATTTCAGTGACCATCTTTTAACATGATATAGACGCCAGGAGCAGAAGATCTAGTTCCTGTGCATCTGTACGAAATGGTTCTTTGCCTTTTGCAGGCCAGAAGGGACAGGGGTGTCAGCCAGCAAGTTTTGATTTCTACCCTGGTGTGATGAGACTGCAGAAGGCCCATTGTCTGGCCATTCTGGTTTATTTTCTCATGTTCATTACAGAGTCAGGCTGTAAAAGGAAATTATTGGAGTCTGATACTTAAGGAAAAAAAATCTACCTTATTTTTTAATTTTAGTGTGTATGTTGTCTTAATAATACCCATGCACAAGTGGTTTGCTTACCTTAAAGCTCTGAATGACTTCACTTTAATCCGTGATTATCTCACAGTTTGCTCTGTTCTCGTTATAGAAACTTGGTGTTTTAAATCAGCACAGCTATAGTTACAGCCTTCATTTTACCTGTCTTCCCCAAGGGACTGCCTTATACATGACACCACAGTTTTATTGATAACGGCGTGATACCTGCTTAGCTTGAGAGCACTGTGTTTCATGCGGGTCAGTTTAGTAATGTCAGTACCCTTCAGACTTTTAATACGAGCAAGGACATAAAAGGTGCCATTTATATGCCATATGCTGGCCTAACCAGAGTCAGAAAGGCCATTTACCAGCTATCAGAGTGGTAGGTGGCCATCAGCCGGTACTAGGGGCAGCCCTGGTAAACAGTGGCCATAATGAAGCCATTTGTCTTGGTTTGATCTTGCTTGACATAGGAAGATCCACTTGGAACATTGTGGTTTTTGTTTTCTGTTTTGAGACAGGGTCTTACTGTGTTATTCACAGTAGTCTTGAACTCTTAAGCAGAAATGATCCACTTGCCTCAACCTCCCAAGTAGCTGGGACTATAGGTGTATGCCACCACACCTGGCATGCGGCGCTGTGAGGAACAGAGCCTCCATCTTCCCTCATCGCCTTCCTGTGTAGTGAGCTTTCCCCTGTCTGCAGGCCTTCAGTTCACCTGCAGGTATTGACTTCTATTTCTTCCTGTGGTTTCTGCGTTTATCCTCTTGATCTGGGTGCTTTTGGTTCCTTGTTCTGAGCTAATGCTGGCTGCTCTCCTTATTTTTGAAGATTCTTTTATGACTTCTGAACTAGTTAGAATTTAATAGCTTCAATGTCCTTGCCTCTTCAGGATTAAGGAGTATGTGTGGTGTGGACAAGGTCTTCTCTGAGATGTTATCTGCCTTCTACGTGTCCTACTTCTAAATTGAGTATATTGTATAGACTTTAGAGTTATCATTAGAATAATATAGGTATAAGAGTGAGACTGAGCTGTGGGTGATACATGTTGTACCTAATCAGAATAATTTAGTAAAGCACATTATTGATTGGGGGCCTAGGGGTACAATGGAAAGTGATAAAAACATTTTTTTGGCAGTACTAGGGACTAGATCCAGGCCCTTTGCACTGAAGCTACATCCCTAGTCCTTTCATATTTTTTATTTTGAATCAGAGTCTCAATAAGTTATCCAGGCCAGGTTGAACTTCGTGATCCTCCTACCTCAGCATCCCAGAGTGCTGGGATTACAGACAGATGTGCACCACCACACCTGACTAGCAATGAAAAACTTCTGCTTCTTATGTGAACTTAACTTCAGTTCTTTTCTCCACCATAGCACATTCTGTGGGCTCCTACTATAACCTATGTGTGTGTCATCTACTTCAAATGACTGCATCAGATTGTACCTGGCAAATCTTATATACCAGTTTTCTTGCTACCTACCTGTTCTGAATTTTAGCTTTCTGGGTGCTGTCTTCTTTCCTTAACCAGGGGAGTTAAGTGTAAAGTGTTCCGTTTAATGTTGATATATGTGGTTTTTTTGGCATTTATATTTTCCTGGATAGGGAACTTCTCAGAGGTGGAGACAGATACATCATGTAAATGGTTTGTGGCCTAGCATAGATTGCAGGTTTCATGAAATAACAGTGATGACAATGTAAATGTGTGCGAATTGAGCAGGGAAAAGTCTAAATCATTCCTTAACGGAAGAGAGGCCCTTCTGGTTTATTCTCAAAGCTGACCTTTTTCTTTTTCTATAATGCTGTCTTGGCTTTTAACATCCACAAATGTCCATTTGTACCAATCCCACACTTTAGGGAAGTGTATAGGAGACCTGAGTAAGTGTAACTCCATCTTGTAAACGTCCTACAGAAGACCCAGGAGTTAATTTCAATCACCTGGTTCATGAACCAGTTTTGCCTAGACTCCATCTCCAGGCAAACAGACACAAGGAGTGGGTTGGGAATGATGGGCAGATTTTCTCTTTTGGTGGAACTTATCATCTTGCCTTTTTGCTGAAATGGTCTTAAGCTGCAGAGAGAGATACTACAGACATCATTCAAGAAGCACATTGTTATTTTAATGAGTCTGCATTAAACCCTACAGGAAATTAGTAAGTTTGGGTAATGGAACTGTAGAAAATTACAGCTGGAAAAATTCATAGCTCTCCTGCCAAAATGGAATTAGGCATTGGCAGTGGCTGAGAGGGCCAAATTTTGGAATCGTATATATTGGGTATTTACAAGGAATCATCTTCCCACTGTTACATCTTTATTTTAATGGGGAGTGTATCCATGTGAAAACCTAGTTTCCTTCCCAAGGAGATTTAGTTCATGCGACTGCCTTCTATTACTTTCATTAACTCAAGGTTATAGTGGTTAACAGTCTGTTTCTAGATAACTGATCTCCACAGAGGGTCTCTTCCCAGAGCTGAAGTGGATTTCCCTCCAGTAATTTGTAGCCTCATCCTCTTCCCATCTTACTCAGAGATAAGGTATTTGGGTCTGATCTTCTTGGATCGAGTTGGTATCAGGCTAGGTAGCAAAGAGTTTGTCATTGGAATTGACCAGCTATCTATGTCTATACTACCCTCTGCTTATCAGGCTGCTACAGACCTGGGCTGATTTTAGGCTAATGAATCTAGGTCCCACTACTTAAAGTCTTTATTAACTGCAAGATACGCTTGACTCAGGAATCTGTAAACTTGAACCATGATGAAGTTAGTGAAGACTCTTTTTTTTTCTCCCTTAGAGAAAATTAAATGGAAGCTTATACATGGGCAATCCCTGGTACTTCCTCCTGGTTTTTATAGTGTACTTATCTGATAGTAAATTCAACTTGGATATTGGAAATCTGCTCTGCCAGAACTTTAGACTATTGCTCTTTCTGCTACTTCCTGTTCCAGTGGCGGATTCTTTTGAGTTTACTCCATGTTCCCTGTGACAGGAAATAGCTTCCTTCTGAATTTTCCTCAGCAAATAGTGAATATTTGTTGATTACTTTGTGCCACCCACAAAGTGCTGGAGTAAATAAAGGGAACCCAGCCCAGTCCTTGGTCTTAGGAAGCTGGTGGTTGAGAGAAAGAGACAGAAAAAGGAATTCAGCGTAGTATGTTAAGTGCTATGATGACAGCAAGGAAGAATTAAAGAAAAGGAGCTGACTTTGAACTGCTCACATTGGCAACATGATTTGGTTCTTGGAACACAGTTCTTTGCTCTGCTCATAATAACCTCTCCTAGAGATTCCAGGATGTCAGTCACACAGAGTTCTAGAGTGAGACAGCTCTGGCATCTTTGGAATCTCAATCTACCCTTGTTTTGGAGATGTTTGAACTTGAGAACCACCAGCCCTGAAAGTGCCCAAGAAGAGAAAGGTGGGATCCTACTGAATTCTGGGGTATTTGTCTAGTTCTGGGGCGATCCAGCTTCTACCTCACTGGCACAGTTTCCTCCTTGGTTCAGAGCAGGACTGTTTGTCTTCTAGGTTGCCAAGAGGGTGATCTTGCTGTCGGGCACGCCAGCCATGTCCCGGCCTGTGGAGCTCTACACACAGATCATCGCAGTCAAGCCAACCTTCTTCCCTCAGTTTCATGCCTTTGGACTTCGCTACTGTGATGCCAAACGGGTACTTCTCTCCTCCCTCCCTAACCTACCTGTCCCTCACCCTGATGTTGACACCTTTCTCTTCCTTTTCTTTAGCCATGGTGTCAGCCAAGGAACAGGGGCCAAGCAACAGGATGAGATTTTAGTTCATGTTTGCCCCTGACTTTGACCTTGGAGTATTCTGGCTAAAGGGCAAAACAAAACTGTTCTGTTTTAGTCATAACATCTATTGTGCTGCCTCGTCACCATTATCCAGGAAAGGGGCCAGCGGCTGACACAAGTGTGTGAGCTCCGAGAGCTGGTAGCCCTTCCCTAAGCTAACAGTTTCTGCACAAAACACAGTGCTCGGGCTATAGAAGGAAAGTCCAAGCTAGACGCTGGCTCCTGAAAAGGCCCTGAGGTGAACTAGATGGGAGGCCCTAAGCAGAGTCAAGAAAGCAGGTGAAGTAGTGAAGGTTGCTTGGCATCGGAGGGATATGAAGTAAAAGTAAAAAAATCCTCTGTGCAAAAAAGGCAGAGGAGTCTGTGAGCAGGTAGCATAGGGCAAGTGATCAGAGATGCCTCAGGAGCACTTTTCTCAGTGGGCCTTTGCTCGTGAGTGGTGACTCATGGTGGATCCCCGCCTGGTCACTAGGCTGGAGCCTCTGACCCATGAGTTACTTCATGGAGACAGTGCCATTGGAGCAGGTGCCTCTGGACGTGCAGTCGTCACAGCTTCACTTCTCCACAGATGGCAAGGGGAGCTCTAGAAACAGAAGTTCGATACACTCAATACCTCCATTTGTAAAACCTCACGAACCTTAGTGATGCAAAGGTTTTGTGATCAAATCACAAATATGTCAGTCCCGTATTTGCCTCAGAGATGGTGTACTCAAAAGCCATTTGTGAGGAAAAAGCACTGCTATGCTATTCATGAGTGCATTTGTAAAATACTTTTTAAAAAGAAAAAAAAAGCTCAGATTTTAAAAATATGCACTCACACGTAAACTAAGTACAGTACTTATGATGTAGATTGTAGTGTTTTGAAAAGTTCATTACAAACAGTTTTTTAGCTGGTTGTTGAAGCAGGAACTGTCTCAGTTGTTTAGTGTGTTTAACAGTCGTACACTTCAGCTGGGTGTGGTGATATACAGCTATAGTCCCAGCTACTGTGGCAGCTAAGGCTGGAGGGTGCTTGAGCCCAGGAGTTAGAAAACAGCCTGGGCAAAGCAGTGAGATACCTTCAGGCACACTAAAAAGCCATGCCCTTCTCCGACAAAGTCTGTGACTGTGTTAGTTTCCATTGTAGTGGAACAAGGCCTGAGATAAACAGCTTACAGGAAAGAGGTTTTATTTTGGTTTCCGGTTTCAGAGGTTTCAGCCCCTGGTCTATTGGCTTCATTATTTGGGCCTGAGGCAAGGCAAGGTGGATCATCCTGGCAGCAGGAGCATGAGGAGGAGGAGGAGGAGGAGGCTGCTAATCTCGTCTTGGTGGGTGTGGGGAGACTAGAGAGAGTGAAAATGAGCTGCAGGGCTTCTTCCTTCTTAGCTTTTTTTTCCTGTCTGGGTCTCTACCCTATTAAATGGTGCCTTCCACATTCAGGGCAGGTCTTCCTTGCAGTTGGCTATCCTACATACCAGTCATCTCTGGAAACACCCTCCCAGATACCCTCAGAGGTATGTTTACTAATTTCCTAGGTGTTTCTTAATCTAGGCAAATTGACTATCAAGATTAGCTATCACAGTGGTTTATTTGATTCCTCTTGGATCAATCCAGATTACATTGGTTATTACAGTTTTTATGTGTGGTTTGTGATTTGTACCTCTTCCTGTTCCTTTATGAGGAGGATCTGTTCCTCGACTTGCTGGTCTTGGGTTAGTGATGAGAGAGGCTAAAGGTAGAATTCATTTTGCTGCTCCCCAGACTGCCCCTTCTTGTCTTCCCAGCATCAGCCTGCCCCTTCCGGTCTCTGACACCAGAAACCGAGACATCGTGACCTCCCCTTTGCCCTCTTTCACTTTGCACCCTTGTTTCTACCCACATCTCAGAAAGCAAAAACTGTTCTTTCATCATTCCCTTCCTGCCACTTAGCCCAGGGCCTGGGACAAGGTATGTTTATAATAAAAGCTTATCATATTATGATTATTCCAAAGTCTAATTTAAAATCTTCACTATGATTAAGAATTTAACCTACAAGATTAAGAGGTAGCAATATTAAATTTAGAAGAAGAATGGTATCCAAATTTATTGTATGCACTTGTTCCTAGCTTTTTTTTTTTTTTTTTTTGGTACTGGGGATCGAACTCGGGTCCTTGTGCTTTTGAGGCAGGTGGCGGAGCCAGTAAGCTAAATCCCTGGCTCCCTAGCATTTTTTTTTAATGCAGCTCAAAGGGCAGGATGCTTTTCTATTTGTTTTGATGTGCTTCATGCATGAAGAGAAGCCACCAAAGAGAGCAGGCACCCTGTACCACTTTCACTTGCTGCCATACAGCTATCTACAGACATTTGCTGAGAACTTCAGGTCAATTTCAGAATTATTTTTTTAAAAAGAGATAACTTTGAGTAATTTTATTTCTTCACTTTTGACTGCCTCTTTCTATCCTCAATTCAGCAAAGGCCTACGGGACACCTACCCTGACCCCATCATTGTGCTAGGCACAATGTCCTGAAGTGTCCTAAAGTGAGCAAGCCCAGCTCTTCCCCTCTGGGTGCTGACAGTTACCAAGGGAGAGGGAGGGCAGCAGGAAAGGAAGGAGCATGAAATGCTAGGCAGCAGACATACTCACTGGCTTACAGGTGCTCCACAAAACCATGCAGATCAGCCCTGTTTTCGTCAAGATTATTGATGAAGGATAGAGTTTACTTTAGTCATTTATTTTGCATTTCTGGGTGTCAGACCCAGGGTCTTATGCATGCTAGGCAAGTGGTCCACCACTGAGCTACACCACCAACCAAGGTTTTGATTTTAATTCTGGCATCTTCTTCTCTAGCTGTGTGACAGGGAATAGGCCTTTAAGCTTACTGTCTCCCTGGAGGCTCTGGTGAGTGAGGCATGTTCATGAGTGACTGCCTGAGCCCTAGTCCTCGAGGCATCTCTTGTTTCAGCCAGAGTGGCAGAAGCTGCCATTCTAGGTTCCTCCTGCTAACCCCAACTCCCATTAACAACAGCAGCACTGCTGTTGCTGTTGCTACATCCACCTTGGTTGCATTGCTGTAATCCATAATGAGAAACAAAAGTTTTTAAGTCCTTCTAAATCTCATTAAAAAAAAGACATCACTGACATCGTTTATCACACAGTGCAGTGAACTCTGTAGGGTACATCTTGGAGAAGACTAATTTCTGAATTTAGTATGCAAGAGTAGTCCCACACACCAAGTTGTGTTTTTTTTGTTTTTTGTTTTTTGTTTTGTTTTTTAATAAAACAAGTGCCAACTCTCTTTACTTTTTGCAGTTATAGCTATAAAGGTTAGTGAAAGCTTGTAAAATGTCATGGTATTTGGTTTTGTTCGTTTCGTGCCTGGCTTTCCTCTCTTCCTTTTTCTTCTTTGTTTCTCTGGGATATTTCTCCTTGTAAAGTCACTTGTACTTCTCTGAATGAAGCCAGAATGGGGATGAGCAGAGAATCGTGCCTACAGCTCACGGCCTGTCTTGCCTCACCTTAGCTTCAGTGGGGCTGGGACTACTCGGGCTCCTCCAACCTTGGAGAGCTGAAGCTGCTGCTGGAGGAGGCTATCATGCTGCGACGCCTCAAATCTGAGGTCCTTTCCCAGCTGCCAGCCAAACAACGCAAGATGGTGGTGGTCGCCCCGGGACGAATCAGCACCAAGGCCAGAGCCAGTCTTGATGCCGCAGCCAAGGAAATGACCAGAGACAAAACTGTGAGTGTGGGACTGGGACAGGTTTGGGCACAGATATGTCCACCGTTTTTCCTTACTGAAAGACGCTCTATGCTGTGACCTCTAAACTTGCCTTTCTGTCACCTTCTCCACTTGAAGCTAGCTCAGTTTATTTCTCAGCCAATCAGATCTGTTTTGAAAATCTCTTATTAACTTGGGTTTTATACTTGTTTGAATTGTTCATGGATCATCAGAAAAATAACCCCAGGGAGGGGCCAGGGACTTGGCTCAGTGGCTCTACCACCTGCCTCACAAGTGCAAGGTCCCAAGTTTGATCCCCGGTACCAAAAATTAATAAATAAATAAATAACCCCAGGGAAAGAGTGGGATGATAAATCCTTCTGAGAAAGTAGAAATACACATTTCAAGAATGCCTCAGTACAGTAATAGTTGTTAGCCAATTAGTCCTGTACTATTCAAGATACACGTTAACCCTCTAACCACCCCGTGTTATTTGCATTAGTCAGAATTACAAATGAACTTTTCTATAACAGAGTAGAGTTTTCAAACCCTCTTAATCTTTTGAATTCTTATTACAACTCTTTATGATTGGCAGGGGAGGTTGGTACTCCTGTTGAATGAGAGGGAAACTGAGGCTCACAGAAATCAACAGTTACCCAGGGTCTCATGTCTGCTGTCTGGCAGAGCTGAGACTAGAAGCAAGTCTTTTGCACCTATAATTCAGGGCACTTTCCTATGGTGGTTTTCTCTTTTCAAAACACTTTTGTTTTGTACTTGTCTTTAGTGTTATACCATCCCAAGTGCTATGATGTATACACCAATTCCATTTCTTTCCTCTTCAAATAAAACCATGTAATTTTTGTTGGCAAGAAAATAACAATCAATGATAATACCACATTGTAGGGACTTGCTATTACCCCATATAAAGAAATAGACATGAGATATCACCCTTTTGTCATGAGATGACAAAATAAGAATGCCAAGAGACAAACTGTGTGATGTTCTTAATGTTCTTTTACCATGCCATGAATAAGACTAACTGGCAACTTTGAAGATATATATATAGTCTGGATGGTTGCAAAGTAATAAGCAGGCATAATTTCTTTCATGGAGTTTTCAAGGGGAGAATATAGAATGGAGTTTGAGAATTATATTTCAGGAGAACCAGGGTGCTCTGTCACTAAAATCTATCTTGATTGTCCTTTTCTGATTTCTAGAGATTAAAACTCAGGGAAGGGGGCTGGTAGTATATGCAATAGTATATAGTCTGGATGGTTGCAAAGTAATAAGCAGGCATAATTTCTTTCATGGAGTTTTCAAGGGGAGAATATAGAATGGAGTTTGAGAATTATATTTCAGGAGAACCAGGGTGCTCTGTCACTAAAATCTATCTTGATTGTCCTTTTCTGATTTCTAGAGATTAAAACTCAGGGAAGGGGGCTGGTAGTATATGCAATAGTAGAGTTTTTGACAGGCCTGTATGAAACGTTGGATTCTGAAAACAAACGAAAAACAAAACAGGAAAAAGAAAAAAAATAGTGTATGGAAATTTTTCTAAATTTTAAGTTTTTCCTTATAACTTTCCTTTAACCTTTAATGGCTCTGACTTTTGACTATCAGTGAACACCATCCACCAAGAAAACCAATGAACAAGTACAGCAGATACAATATTAAAGGAAGAAATTCAGACATGCCATATTTTTAGATGGAAAGATCTGAATATTTATAAAACACTATGCTTCCTTTGCTAGTAAGATTGATCCTTGTGTATGAGAGAAGGAAGAAAGTCTGTCTCACCCTCTCCTTTACGTCACCTACCTTTTGAGTCAGTTTGAGAGCAGCCAGTGAAGATGGCTGAAAAGCAATCAGTAAGCCTTTGAGTTGAGAAGAAAAATTATACTAAGTGTTAGGAAATGACTGAATTGTGTGGCATAGCCAAGAAGAAAGAGAACGATAGAAATGGAAACATTGGAGATTTTATACTTAGTGCAGCAAAGCCTGGAAGCATTGTAAAAACTTCTACTATCTTAGAAACTTTTTCAAGTTAGGTGAGTGACTTTTATCCAAAAATAATTTCAGATGCAGCCAAGGTTTGATTTCACAGTTTATTCGAGATAAACCATGAAAATTAGCAATGGGGGATGTTTTAGAACTTTAGCTATACAAATCTCTCAAATTTGGGGGAATATTTTGGTATTTCTGTATCCAGAGAAGGGAGCTACAACCTGCCTTAGAGCTGGAAAAATGCATAAGGACAGTGCCACTTGCCCAGAGTCCTATATGTTGTATGATTAGCATCCTTGTCATATAAACACCCTGGAGTCTCCACTCTGTTTGGCAGCTTGTGAAAATAAAGCTGAAGATACAGTATAATTCTTCAAGAATCCAGCTGGGAAAGAGCCCAGAGCTCATCTCAGCCCAGTACTTGAGAGTTGCTACCTGCTTTCAGGGAGTCTTAGGCAAATTAAGCATTTATGCCTGAAAGGTGGAAATTGAGCTGGGCCAGATGGCCTTCAGTGTAATCCTGGGGCCAGATACTAAGTTCTTTTAGATATTAAGTCCTGGAAAACTTGATGCCCTTTCATGTTCTTTAATAGAAATTCATTTTTGTAGTATAGAATCCAAATAGAAAATGAATTAGGGCCATCAAAACTTCATTGTCTGGGCCATCAGAACTTTCCTACTTTAAAGCTCCCAAGGGCTGGGTATATAGCTCAGCAATGCAGTGCCTGCCTGGCAAGTGTGAGGCCCTGAATATGATTCCTGGTACCGAAATCAATCAATCAAGCAAGCAAGCAAGCAAGCTCCCAAGACAGTGCATTTCTAAGCTATGAATCTGATGAGGAGCATTGCTCTAACTTTATTCAGACCGGGGAGCCACCTCCCTGGGGGTAGAATTAGAGGACCATGGATGCCCCCTCTAACCTTCCTTGATCAGCTATGAAGTACTGTGTCGAAAGAGTTGAAATACAGAGTCATATTTTTAGGTTTAAGTCAAATAAGGAGGCCCTGTGTCTCCACAGAAAGCACCTTACCTCCCAGCTTTTATAGTTACTTTTTAGCCCCCATTTTGCTGCAGTTCTGCACATCATGGTGGCCTTGCCAGGCAACGCTGACCTGCCTGTCAAGAACTGATCCTTTCTTTGTCCTTTCACACCTTTCCATCTGGAGGAAAAGTTTGGAAAAAGGCTTTAAATCACAGTAGCCAAGGTGAAGCCGCCAATTTATAAAATGCAATGTTATAATAAAAGCTTTGTCTCATTTTTCAGCTGAAATAATAGGTATCTCCTCTCAGGCTAAGGAAGGCAGACTGTAATCATCTTTTGTCTAAAGCCATTTTTTGATCAGCAAGACCAGAAGCAGAAAAATGAAGCAAATCCATGCAGACTTCCTGGTGATAATATCAGCTCACCCTTGTCATTTGATATCCATTCAAATTTTCAACCTAGAAAAGTAAATTTGAAGAGTTCAGTGGATCTAATTTAATAAAAAGTGTAGGAGGCAGGAACAAAGAATGCAGGTTATTTAAAATTTCCTGGCCATAGCTGACAAAAGAAGTGACATCATTAATGGATAATATTATATCTACTCAGTTTAGGAAAGAGTTTTTTTTTTCTTTTTAAGGTGAAACTATTGATTTCTCACACACTAAAAAACACTGGGGGGTGCGGTTTGGGATATAGTTCTGTGGTCAAGCACTTGCCTAGCATGCAGAAGGCCCTGCATTTGATACCCAGCACTGCAAAATAATTAATAATAATAATGATGATACAATAGATGTCTATACTACAAGAAATGACTACTGTATAAAATTTGAAAAATAAGCCTGGTGTGGTGGCTCACACCTGTAATCCCAGCCCTTCGAAGACTGAAGCAGGAGGATCACTGTGAGTTTAAGGCTAGACTGGGCTACATAGTGAGTTCAAGGCCAGCCTTAACTACAGATTGAGACCTTGTCTCAAAAAAGAAAAGAGAAAGAAAGTACTCTTGGGAGTGCTACAAGTTTTGGTCCTGCCATTAAGTAGCCTGGTGACACATAAGGTCACTTGACTTTTTGTCTCAGTTTCCTCGTGGATGCAGATGGGATACTAGTGTCTTCCTCATAGCAGTGTTGGTTATTAAATGAATTAAATGTATGCATGTTTCTTAGAACCCTGCCTAGCCAATGGTATGTGGTGTACAAAAGTTAACTGTTATTTTAATGACTATATTATTTAAAAAGATGTTTTATACCACATAATTTTGGCATATCACATTTGAGGGTTTTCCTATAGTACTTATGTATGTATATTTTGCTCTAAAATATATTTCTATGTTAGGCATGGTAGTGCACTCCTGTAATCCTAGTACTCTGGGAGGCTGAGGCAGGAAGATTGCAGATTTTAGCCCAGCTTGGGCAATTTATTGACTTAGTGAGATCCTGTCTTAAAAAATAAAAGGGCTTGGAAGTAGCTCAGTGCAAGGGCCCTAGGTTCAATCCTTGTGCAACAAAATGTATGTGATGTCTATGCATATATATGTGTGTGTGTGTGTGTATAAATAAATATTTTATATAAAAATATATGCCTGTATCAAACTAAATGTTTAGATATAAAACATTTATGTATATAACAAACTATATATTTTTATTTTTGGTTTTGGGTTTTTTTGGTACCAGGGATTGAACTCAGGACCTTGCTCTTTTGAGGCAGACAGCGGTACCACTGAGCTAAATCTCTGGCCCCATATA